ATTTCAACAAAGGATTATTAAGATTTTATGAAAAAACGATTTTTTTAAAAAGTTTGACACAGTTTTTATATAGGACGCTTCATTAAAAAGATACAGGGTGTTAATATTTTAAATTTTTTTAAATAATTTAAAAACTAGTAAGTGAAATAATTTGAAATTGGCCACATAAATATTTATGTAAACATTTCCCAAAATCTGAGGGCTTTTTCTAAAATTTACATGCTCCATTGGTGGAGACACAGGGTATCGGTGACATATTTTTCTAAATAAAATAGTACGCCACTGCTTTCCAATTTCAAATTATTTCACTTACTAGTTTTTAAATTATTAAAAAAAATAAAAATATTTGTTGAAGTTTAACACCCCAGTATCTTTTTAACGAAGCGTCCTAAATAAAACTTTATAGGAAAGATTCCCCTTAAAATTCATTTTTGATCACCATTTGTGAATTGTGAAATTTACAATAAAAAACATATATCCTTAAAAATATATTTTTTTGCCAATTTCTTGTAATACATAATCATTCTTTATTATTGCCCGAATAACCCTACCTAGGGACCGCCACTGAGCTCTATGCAAGCGGTTGGTTTAGCGATAATTCAATTATCGTTTTATAAATTAATTATGCACAATATCCAAACGATATCTCGGTTGAAATTCGCTTCGATTCCCTCCAAATCGTCGCATTTGGCATGCCAAGAGTCTGAGGAGATTAAAATAGCAAAAGGTCGCATCTTCGAATCTCTTCCGAGCCCCCATTTATTAATTAATTTAATTCCCAAGTCGTCCCGAGGCGCCAGCCGTTTCTTTTTCAATTTGACACTGTAATTAATGATACTCCTCCGTATTCCTCCCTTCTACATTCAATTAAGCAACTTGTTCGAATCCGACCGGCGTTGTTTACCAGACACCTCGTCCGGAAGGAGATCCGGACGGGAATCGTCAGGTTTTTCTCAACCGTAGGTCGCTAATTAAATGATTGGGAAGACGGGAAAGTTCTGTAAGTATCGCCATTAAGGAATTCGGTGACAAGATCAAGAAACACCAAAGTTAATCGATTGTCCTTATTTCGTAAGTTTTCAACGCGCTATTTCATTTCCATTGGGCCANTGGAGAGACGGGAAAGCTCTGTAAGTATCGCCATTAAGGAATTCGTTGACAAGATCAAGAAAACTAAAGTTAATCGATTGTCCTTATTTCGTAAGTTTTCAACGCGCTATTTCATTTCCATTGGGCCAGAGTTTAGTCGACAAGCAGCATCAAAATTGGCTTGTCTTCCTAGTGGCACCGGTGTTGTGCTGCACTGGGGCATTCTGGTCACATGAGTTTTGAAATACATCGCAATACTATCAAAAATTTTGATATCGCAATAGAATGACATACTTCCACAATTGAGAATGACATAACTAATAAAACACATAACATCGCAAGTCCATACATTCAAAAATTTTATCACCTCTCTCTGAAGGGGGTACAAACTGGAACGAAGTTGTCAGTAATGTTAATTAGCAACTTTTCGAGTCATCCGATTAATTTTTTCTATAAACTTTTCACAAAAGTTACTGTTTTAATACTCCAGTTACTCATATTACTTTGCAGTCATCATCAGCAAAACTAACTCAGAGTCCTAAAAGTAAGAAAGAATTGATTTCCGGACCCAAGTACTGTGAAGACTTTTGTTCAGTAACACAAAACCAACAACTTCTGCCAATTTGACCGAGCCCGCATTTTCATAAACACCGAGCGGGGGTTTTTAGGCATGACATAGCTAGTACAATATGTAACATTCCAATACTATCAGAAAAATTTGTCACAACAAACGCCTCGAATGCTCTAGCGCCTGGACTAACAGCTGTATGTTTGATTTTAAATTATTATTATTAATCTGTCTTTGTTGACGCTTTTCGCAGAGACTGAGCTGCGGGACATGGTGAACGAGGTGGACCAGGACGGCAACGGGACCATAGAATTCAACGAGTTCCTCCAGATGATGTCGAAGAAGATGAAAGATGCGGATGGGGAGGAGGAGCTTAGAGAGGCCTTTAGGTGAGTAACGTCACAGCTCTAGGCTCGCTGTTATTCGTACATGGTTCTAGGGTTTTCGACAAAAACAACGACGGTCTGATATCTTCAAACGAACTGCGTCACGTGATGACCAGTCTGGGGGAGAGGCTGTCGGAGGAGGAAGTCGATGATATGATCAAGGAGGCCGATCTGGATGGAGATGGTCAAGTTAACTATGAAGGTATAACGGAATTATCATTTTTTTTACTTGATTGGTGACTTGGTCACATCCCTCTCCCCCACCCCCACAGTTCTGGACTAATATTTGCCATTAGAATGACTTGGGCTCTATCTGAGGATATAATTTTTAACATTTCTTCCTTTTATAATCTATTCTTTGTCTTATTTCAGAGTTCGTGACCATCCTCACAGCGAAGAACTAAGAATAGACGGCGAGAACTTGATCCAAAAATCACCTAGTCCTGTTCGTATCATGATAAACAAAATATACAGCTACCTTAAAAAAACAATGTCCCAAACCTCCTTTTATGTATAAGCACTGCTTCACTTTTTCGATAATTATTATAACTAACGCTCTAAGATTATATTTTAGTGAAACAATATGGTTCTGAGATACAGGGTGCAAGAACTTACTTGTCTACTATAAATAATTTCTATACGAATCTATTTGTAACTTCGAGAAGCAAAGAAATAATATAAGGTAAACATTGATATACTTACAGCAGGTACATTAAATCTGTCCAGTTTTACAGTGAACAATATATGGGGTGTTTCTTAAAAATAACGTGGGTCGCCAAAGCCAACCTCGTTTGGTTATTTTCTGTCGCTGCGTTGTAGTATAACCCGTTGTACAAAAAATGAGGTGATGTACCACTTGTAAACATTTTTTTGCGACATGTTTACAAAAACACGAGTAGCTCTGTTTCAAGAACAGTACTACCAACCTTCAAAAAAACAATTGTATGCTTTCATAATACCCGCGAATTTCAAATAAGTAATTCACCTTATTTTTTGGGGTATTTTTATTAAAAAAAAAATAGTGAAAAGGAATGAAAAAATTAAAACCTTCCTTTTTCTTTGGGGATTTTTCAATATGCAAATAAATTTAAAATACATACAACAAATGAAAAAAAAAAATGATTATAGAAGAGGTAATAAACTACCGTAAAGTATATCCCTGCGAAAAATAAGGAATTTCAAATCCGAAAATACCAAACAAACATGAAATAACATTATACGGGGTGTCCCGTTCATGTTTCAAAAAAACTTGTGTGCAAGTTCCTCATGGAAAAATAATACAGGTAGTTCATGTAAAGTTTTTTTCTGAGACGCCCAATTTTCGAGATACAGTGTGTTGAAGTTGTTACTTTCCAAATGGTTTTCCTTAATTATCTTTACATCGGCTAAAGATAAAAATGTCAAAATGTGTACATTAGTAAACATCAACTGTGCGTTAAGAATAATGTGCAAACTGTTTCTTTCTGAAAAGCAGTGTCGCCGATACAGGTAGTTGGAGGAGTACAATCGAAAAAAATATGTTAAAAGTCAAAATTTATTACATTTCTAAACGGTTCTGTAAACTCTAAAGCATACTACAAAAAAAATATATACTTGTCGAAATTCGGTAGCATGTACCATTTTCGAGAAAAATGAAGTTGCATAGAAGGAAATGGGGGACAATTTCAGTATCTACTGTCGTATTTCGCGTTTGCACATTTATTTAATTGTGCAGCTGTTTTGTTCTGTATGTCTCCGAGTCTGTTTCCTAATATTTTTCTGTTTTTATCACTTTTTTAAGGAGGTTTATCTGATTTGGAATTGACATACAAATATTCGTAAAAAAAATAATATTAGCTTATTAATATGAAGAAAATCCTCAAAAAAAATTATTACTAGTTTGGATACCTAAGAGACAAGATATGAATAAAATAATTTTTCACGATTTAGTACGAAGTCTTATGAGAATGCAGATTTTTTTGGTCTTTTCACATGGAATGCGCAACAATTGACGAACAGTTTCCACAGCAACTTGTATAAATAGGAAACCGATATCTAAGGAACTGTATGACAGCTCGTAGAAATCGATTAGGTACTTGTAAGATACATAATTTATAATAATTCTCCCTCAAACTGCTGTCGTTGACTAACTTAACCTCCATATGCGTGATAGCGGCAACGCCGCGGTCTCGACGTAGCGTATTATTTGAAATTTGCAGGTGTCCAAGTAAACAGAATGCGAGCGAGTCAGCCAAATGCAACGTTGCCAAATCTAAAGGCTTACTACCTACTGTAGTTACTAGCAAATCTACAGAAACTCTCGTTAGACTTTAGACGTACTTCCGTACCCGATTAACCTCCTTAAGCATTCATGTCCATCATCAATTCAGTCCATTCAACAATTGTTTATTTTAGTAATGGTAGTGTAGTAGTTTACAAAATCCAAAATTAGTTAATAATAACTAATTAATAATCATAATCTGTTTATTGATTTACTTTTTTAAATGTTAGTTTACAACAAACTTAAAATAAATTTTATTTTTTTTTCCTTTAGTTAATAAAATGTTTTACAATTTAACTGTTTCATGTGATACGTAAGAAATTAAAATTATAGTCTTAAATGCAAATACTGTTGGTAGCTAAATGTCTTGAGCTCATTCAATAGTAAGGTCCTCTTTCAATTTAATATTTTGGTAATGTACTTGTGCCACTTTATATGAGCAAAAAAATTCAACTTCATTTTTCTCGAAAATGGTACCTGTATCGGCGACACTGCTTTTCAGAAAAAAAAACCGTTTGCATCTTAAGGCACAGTTGATGTTTACTCGTGTACAAATTTTGACATTTTTATCTTTAGCCGAATTAAAGATAATTAAGGAAAACCATCAGGAAAGTAACAACTTCAACACACTGTATATCTCGAAAATAGGGCGTCTAAGAAAAAAACTTTACATGAACTACCCCTATTATTTTCCCATGAGGAACTTGCACACAAGTTTTTTTGAAACATGAACGGGACATCCTGTATATCGAT